TCTCTCTCTCTCTCTCTCAAAAAACAAATAAGTACATTAACATTCAAAAAATAAATGTTATATATTGCAAAGCAAATTGATGCTCATTGAAAAACATCCAGTGATACAGAAAAGATAAAGTGAATAATCCAACGCTCCCTGTCCTCCTGCCAACTTCCACCCCTCTGGGATTCCCACTCTTGACGTTTTGGTTTAGGACCTCCCAGACCTTTTCATGTGTATGTACACATGCACACACACAATGTTTACATAAGGAGATGCTAGTGTAAGTTGTGTCCTGTACCTTGCTTTGTTTACATAATATATGTTGGGGATCTCTCCACCTTGGTCCATTTCGATGCCTTGCACTCTTTAACAACAGCACCATGTGCCATAGATGGGGTGTGTTTAACCACGCCCTTATTGCTCATGGTTAGGTTGCTGCCCCGTTTATTTTGCTCTTATGAAAATAATACTGCACTGAATGCCCCATGCACTTTTTCTGTACGGGGATTCGATGAATGCCCATTTATGTGCCATGAATGCCTTTGTACATTTTGCGTGCTTTTATAAGCCCTTCAATAGGATAGATTCCTTGAACTGGAACATCTTTCCAGATTTTAAGAATTTTGAGGTATTTACGCTGTACTTGACCATATGTTTTTTTTTTTTTTAATTTGATGTTTTACTTATTTTTGAGAGAGAGAGAGAGACAGAGAGAGACAGAATACGAGTAGGGGAGGGGCGGAGAGAAAGGGAAACACATAATCCAAAGCAGGCTCCAGGCTCTGAGCTGTCAGCACAGAGCCCGACACGGAGCTTGAACTCAAGAGTTAAGAGATCATAACTTGAGCTGAAGTTGGATGCTCAGCGGACGGAGCCACCCAGGAACCCTGCCCCCCCTGGCCATATGTTTTTTAGAGAGGGATTGCATTTTGTTAATTACTTCAAAATACAAAGGGAGAAGAGATACTGTTGCTATACATAAAGAGGCTTTTTGTGAGGTTAGCACTGAGCATGGGAATGAGATATTGTAGGGTGGGGAAGGAATATCCAGCCTGCTACCTTTGCTCTCCTTCAGCTGTAAACCTAAGGCTTCAGAGAGGGTTTGTGGAGACGCGTCCACAGTACCCCTGTCAAAAGGATGGGAGGACCTACCTTACAATTCCACAGAAGGTTCTCACTATTGAGGACAGAGGTAGTGACCTGCCTTCTTTCCAGAAGGCAGAGATTTGCCAAGCCATCCTGAAAGTCTACCAGCTTCTGATCTAGGCAAGGGGTACCTACGGGCGGGGGCTATGATTTCTTTATGCACATGTCCTGGCCCCGGTTACCAATCGTGCAGTGTACTTAAATGGTAATAGGTTGGTGATAATGCCATTTAATTTTCTGAGGAAAGGAAAGAGAAATGGTGTTAGAAATGGGCCCTTTTATGGAGTTGCTGGGATAACAGCCATGGAGAGAGGAAAGTTTGGCTTGGTGCTGTGGAGTGTTGAATTATTTGAGCTATTCACACTTACTGCTTCTCTGTTGGCAGGTTGCCGGAAGATATCACCATCAGAATGTTCCCACGACAATTCTCCATCCCCTGTTTATTACAAAATAAGAAAAGAGTCATACATACATAGAAGGGAAAACCATCACCCTTGTGACCTAGCAACATTTTTGGTTCTATGATCCCAAATTTCTCCAGACAGCTTGACCGTCGTTAAGATGGCTGTCCTTCAAAAAGTGAGCCCGGAAGATTTCTCTCTGGGTGTGCCTCAGTTTTCAAAGCAGCTCTGAAGAAAGCTACCACCTTCTAAAAGATTCCGCCCATCACCATTGTGTAAGATTTGGGAAACAAAAGGGAAAAAATCACTTTCCGCTGTGATACAGCCATCAGCTTCCCTTTTGATTATTTTATTTCCGTGGCAGTTAACTTTTTTGCAGGTCATGTGTAATCTGTGTTTAAACTACCCTTAAAAATGAGAGTTTTGAGGATGTTGTCTGTCATAATTGGTTCAATTTTCCATTGTGTCTCTGAGTAGGATGACCTGGTCTGAAAGTTAAGGTAAAGCTTGCGGTGGTTGGAGGGTTTACATAACCAGTATCCAAGATGTACTCCTCTACCGTTGCCTAAGATACCTTCCTCTAGGTCTCTGTGTCCACTCTTTGAATAGTGAACCCTTATCACTGCCGTCTTCCACAGTAACTGCTTTTGGGAGGAAGATCTTACTTTTAGCCTTGAGAACAACAAACACAGCACAAGATGGTGATATTCCTCAGCCAAAGAAAGATCACGAACAACAGGACAATTTCCAAGGATATTCCCTTGTGTTATCTATGACCAAACAAGCCAATGGGAAGAGCTTGGTCTGACTATTAGCATCAGATCAACCATATATTTCATGGGATAATAAGAAATACCCAAAAGTATCAGCATTAAGAATTTTCTATTTTAATTTATCCCCCAAGATTTCAAAACCCATGGCTACATAGTAACATGTTACTAGTTCAAGGATGTGATAGTACTATGAGGGAAAATTGGCTGTTAGGACTTGAAAAAGACTTCGAAATTCCTTTGATAGTAATATTATCATCAGGTAGTGACATATAACAAAATTATGGCTTTAGTCCCTTCATGATTTAAAGATCATCTTATGGAAAAAAATTATGAATTGTCAAGATTTAACTCTGGTTACTAGATTAATCATAGTGTAACTTCATCATTCTGTGATCAAAACCTTCAATGTGTTCCCATCCGAGACTGGATATAATTAGCTCCCCCCCGCTCATCTTTATGAGTACCTGCCTCTTCCTGAACTGTCTCAGCTACTCTACTATGAGAACCCTTTGACCCCTTTGCTCTTTATGGAAAATGTGGCTCCTATTCTTGCTTCCATGCATTCGCTCATGTTATTCTTCTGAAATTATCTTCCCATCTCCCACACCCATACCTCCCGTACAGCTATGCAAACAATTTAAGTTCTGCCTCCTGTACAACATCTTCCTCAAGCGCTCTTACATATTTCTGGTTGCCTAAAGGACTTAGCATCCCGTAGTCTTAGTTTTTGTCCAACTGCTCCATTTCACAGATGGAGAAAGGCTCAGAGAGGGCAAGCAGCCATTCACAGTCACATAATGAGTTGATGAGCATTAACACCCCAAACCCCAGATTTCCTGGCTTCCAAATAAGCACATCCATTCTGTAAGGGCAGGATTTTTTATTCGTGTTATCCATGGCTGTATCACCATCATCTATAACAGTGCCTGACACATAGTAGTCACTCAATAAAATACTTGCCAAATGATGGAATTGAGAGGCCTTCTCTAACGACATATTGAAAATTTCAACGCTCCTCTGATAATTCTTATCTGCCATCTTGGCCTTTTCTTTTTAGCACTTAACACTATCTTACGGTTTATACAGTTTGTTTGTTTAATTTTCTGCTCTCTCCACTAGAATTCTCCTATGAGAACAAGGATTTTTGTCTATCGTGTTCACTGATATAACCCCAGCACCTTGAACAGCACTGGGCACAGGGTACTCATTCAATATTTCTTGAATGAATGAACATTAAAACAATGTACAGTATCCTCTGTTGCAAAATATTTTCTGAGTCTTCCTTGTCCCCCTGAAGAGACCATAAATCCCTTGAAACTAGGGACCATGTCTTAGACATTCCCCTGTGTTGCCTAGATCACTGGTTTTCAAAGTGTGGTCTCTGGAGCAGCAGCAGCATCATTACCTGGGAACTTGTCAGAAATGCAAAATGTGGGACCCCATCCCAGACCTACTAAGCCACTCTGGGGTGGGAGGGCAATGATACCGGTTTTGACAAGCCCTCCCGGGGATTCTGATGTGTGCAAGAATTTGAAAATATTTGGCCTGGAGCACTTAGCATGTTCCTGGGTACACATCAGGTGCTCAGTATATGTACTGAATTGAACTGCAATCAAAAATACAGAATTAAGTAGTTGGCCAATAGTAAATTCGCTTCTTCCTGGTTATTCCAAGTCTGAGTAAAGATGGCAGACAAAGACTGCATCCAGACTATGTGGAAACCCTGAGTGACCCTGAAAGAGTGAAGATGATTTCACCTTTGTTTACATCTAGAAAATAATGCCCAAAAGTCAGTTATTATGTATTGGATGCTTCTTGGGTGGAAAGCCTGATACTAAGGCAGAAGGTGGAGAGAAATCAGGCTGGGCCCTTGCCCTCAAGATCTTTACAACATGTTTGGAGGTGACAGGAAGTCAGCACAGGAAACAGCCTAACACACGCACACGCATACACACACACACACACACACAGAGTAACAACTGGAAATACAAATGAACCTATGTGCTTGGGAGATACTGAATAGGTGAGTGATCAGTAAGATAGAATTGTGTAAAACTTCCCAAAAGGATTAGTCATGTTTTTAGAAGTAGATGCTACAGGGCACGAACACATGGTGACGTGGACAGCGGGTGGCTCAACTGAAAGGAACGGCATTTGCAAAGGGGCAGAGCTTTGGAAACAGTAAGTAACATACTGGAGACAGCCAGCAAAGTGTGGCTTGAGTAAAAAGTTCCGATGTGAAACAAGAGAAATGAGGATGGTGGAGAGAAAGAAAGGAAGAAGGAAATGGAGGGGGGTAGTGGGTGAAGAGGAGAGGGCAGGAAAGAAACAGGAGGGGAGGGAGACTGGTTGTTGAGGTATATAAGGCTGGTAAATAATTGCTTTGTAGACTTCAGAAAGAGGTCGAAGAATTCACATTTTAGCCTGTTACCAATTTTTACGTAGAGGTTCCTGCAGTAAAAATGGTATTTGTGGAAGCTTCTCCTGACAATCGAGTGTCACCTAGTTGGGGAGCAACTGGAATCTGAGAAACCAACCAAGAGGCTGTCCTACTAATATGTGACAGGCCCTGAGAATCTATAAAATAATGGAGAAGGGGCAAATAAGACTACTTCAGATAAAAAGGAAATGTTAAGATCCCAATGGGAGATTTGGTAATGGAAGAGGTTGGCAAAGGAGAAAACAACATAAAATGACGCTAGGGTTGCAAATCTGGACAGCTGGGAAATGACACTGCCTTTGACAGAGTCTGAGTGAGGATGAACTTCAATTTACTTGTTCCGCTTCTGCTGGCAGTGGTGGGTCCAAGCAACGTCCTTGATGAAGCCAGATGAAAATATGGGACCAGAGAGAAGACTGGAAACCAGAAGAGATTCACCAGCAAACAGCTGAACAAAATGTAAAAGTTATAGGATGTATTTTCAAGCCTAATCTAAGGACCCCAAAGAGAATAAATGAGAAAAGAAAAAAGGATAGATTTGCTCTCTGCATCAAATGGCGTTTGTAAACGTAGAGTTAATGATTGGTATTGACACGGAACATATACTTAGCATGACCTTCTGAGAAGTTCAATTTATTGCATTTATACCCTAGAGTGTTCAAAGGGTTTTTAGGTAGTGTCTTGAAATACTTATAGTCCAGTCAGAATCTTGAAGCATATAGTCCCTAAGTGAGCAGAGAAACAAGCCAGGATCAAGCATGAAGGCTTGATGTAGAGGTTCCTACAAGCACGGGGCTTTAGCATGAACTTGTGTAACACCCTGTAACACAAGTTCAAGAAGAAAGTGTCGCAACACCTAAGCATTTAATGGCAAACAGGCATGTGCGCCTAAATCTCAATTATTTCACTTCACAAAAAAACTACTGGAGCCATTACTTCTGTACACACACACACACACATATATTCTCAAGTATGAATGACTACTAGTTTTATGGCTTTGAGCTTTCAAAGTCATCCAAATGGTATTCTCTAAGCTGGAGTGTTCTGTAAGTAAGAAGTTATTCCATATAATTTGGACCATAGCTAAATTGGAAGAATCTTCTTAGATGTTCCATTTAGTACACGTTTAAGTGATTCTCTAGACCTGGGCAAAGTCTGTCCAGATAGCTGATAACAGGCATGTTCATTTACCATCTCAGATATACCTAAGAGACAAAATACATACAAGAAAAAAGGAAGCTGCACTACCCTAAAACCTGTTCCTTTGCTTTTTTTTTTTTTTTTTT